ATCTACACTCAGTGCATTGAAAAGCTCATTGAAGGGTGTTTTGAAGGGTACAATGCCACAGTTTTTGCATACGGACAAGTAAGTTCATACTGTTTTCATGGAAATTGTAATCCAGTTGAACTTCCTTCTATGTCTTCAGGCTGTGTTAATACTGAACAGTCATCTCTTCACTTATCTTTTGCTTAGACTGGAGCTGGAAAAACGTATACAATGGGAACAGGGTTTGACGTTAACGTGGTTGAGGAAGAGCAGGGCATCATTTCTCGTGCTGTTAAACACCTTTTCAAGAGCATTGAAGACAAAAAACACACAGCAATTAAAAATGGACTTCCTCCTCCAGAATTTAAAGTGAACGCCCAGTTCTTAGAGGTAATCAGTTGTCACAATTTCCCTTTAAATTTCATCCATAACACTGAATCTGTATGATTTTATATTGTTGGCTCAAGTACTGTGCTTTGCGTATAGTAATCAACATTGTTTGAGCAAATTAACATTAGTTAGTAGATAATAAATATACCTTTCTTATATATAATAATGTTGGCATTTGGTATTATAAATGTTTGACAGCATCCATGATATGAAAGTGCCTTTAATATTATTTCAGAACCTTTATTAATATAAAGATAACTTACTGTGGTAGTTTAGTTGGGCTTAAAATGTACTGAGAATTTAGCGGTTAAGAGCAAAGAGGAGAGCAGCGATGAACTGGGGCTGTTGCCCTAACACTGCTCTACCTTCAGAGGTAGTGCTGGTGTCTCTGCAGGGTCCAAAGGTTGGAGCAGGTTTGGATTGATTTATGGCAGCCTAGGCTGCTGGGGAGGTTTGTCAGTAGAAGGAAATGTAGTAGTTGAGTCGACTCTGGCATTATAATTCTGAATGAAGGGTTAATTTTGTTAAGAAAGATCCCTTTTGGGGCCAAGAGATGGCTCAGCAGTGATGAGCACTGGCTCCTCCTGCAGAGGACCTGGATTCAATTCCCAGCACCCACATGGCAGCTGACAACCGTCTGTAACTCCAGTTCCAGGAGATTTGATGCCCTCTTCTGATCTCCACAGATGTTGCATTGCATGACACAGATGCACTTTCATACATGCAGGCGATCAATACACTAATACGCATAAAATTAAAATAATAAATAAAATATTTTTAAAAGTCCTTTAAAAAACTAAAGATAGGGCTGATAGGATATCTAGGTGGGTAATGTTGCTTGCTGCCAAGCCTGGCTACCTGAGTTTGATCTCTTTGACCCACATGGTGAAGGGATTGAAAACCAGTTTCCACACATGTTCCCTCATACATTCACACAAGTAAATACATGTAATAAAGATAAACTAAAGAGAGAATTAGCATACCATCCTGCTGTTTACCAGATGAAAAAAACCCAGCTTATTCACAATAACCAAGTTATGGCCTCAGCCTGGGTGTGAATCAACAGGTAAATACAAATGTGTATGTACACACACACATATGTACCATCAGGAGTATTCAGCCATAAGAATGAAATTGATGCCATTTGTAGGAAAATGGATGGAACAGGTGATCATCATATTAAGTGAAATGAGCCAGACTCCAAAAGACAGATAGCACATTTTCTTTCCTATATGGATTCTAGTTGTAAACGGATAAGAAGGGAAGGCGTGGGAAGAAAAGCTGAGAGGGGCATGGGGGTGGGGGGAAGGGCAGGATCCAGAGAGGGTAGAAAGGGGCGAACAAGGTGGGAGTACATTGTGTACATGTGATGACACCAGGAAAACCTACTGCCCTGTACAAGTATCACATTCGTGTACAGAAGGGAACGGTGGGTGAATGAAAAGGGACCAAAGGAAGAAACGCATCAGAAAACCTGGTTTTTAGCTTAAGCTGTAAAACATCTTCAAATCTCTGACTTTTGATTTGTTTGCATTTGGTGCACGGTTGTCCAGACTTGCTTGTGTTCTGCTTAGAGCTTGCTAAAGGGGGTGGGGAGTTCATCCTCGGCCAGCTGGTTATGGCTAAGTCATTTACAATTCTTATTTTTGTAAATCTAACATTGGCTTAAAATAATATTTATAATTTATAAAATGTAATAATTCATAGTTATGTTTTATTTTGAAGGAATGGGTGTCATTTTGAAGAATTTGTATGAAATTTGTATGAAATATGTGACGTTGTATGAAATATGTGAAGCATGTTATAACACATGAAAATTTCTACAAATAACCTGATGTTTCTTTTCTATAGCTCTATAATGAAGAGGTCCTTGACTTATTTGATACCACTCGGGATATTGACGCAAAAAATAAGAAATCAAATATAAGAATTCACGAAGATTCAACTGGAGGAATTTACACTGTGGGAGTCACAACACGCACTGTTAATACAGAATCAGAGGTGACAGCTGTGTTGTTAAAATATAGTATAGGTGACTTGTAAAAGCCATGCCAACTGATGGTATCCTTAGGATCAATGCTTAAAATGGACTGGACACTGGTTCATGTCCATCTCGTGGGGTCTCCTCAGCCTCCTTGATGAAGAGAACAGGTGACTCACCACAGTTACAGGACATTTTCAGAGGTTCTCATAGTCCCCTAGAACTTAGTCAACCTAGGAGGGCAAGGAGCAAAAACTGTCATTTATGTTCCTCTGACCGCATTAGTATAGGCCTCATAGTATGTCTGTTAAACATCCAAGAAGGTTAGTTCCACCTGTCTGGTACTTTTAATTACCATGTGCCATGTAGATAAAGCTTGGGCAAAGACCACATGTTCTCAGATAAACATTGCCTAGACATGTATTATATTCCTTGAGCTAGTTGTATGTATAATTTTTCAGTAGGTTGTTCACTTAATATGGTTCCCTCTGGTTTTTTAAAACTAGCTAGGCATTTATTTATCTCTTGAATTGTCTAACCCTTTCTACCATGGTTTCCCCATTTAAAGTGCCCCCATTTTTCCCATTTCTCCCTTAATAATACCCTTCTCCTATGGACCCACTTCTCCTGAGCTCCTTCTTTCCCTTTATCCCCAAGATTCCTTGAATAACCCTTTGTCCCCCCTCCCCTTAAAATAACCCCATTTTTATCTTTATCTCCCTTATTAAGGCCTGTTTCCTACTGTTCTCTTTCAGATTCTTTCTTTTCCTATGATCCTACCTCTCTTGAGCTCCTTCTTTCCCTTTATCCCCTAGTTTCCTTGTATACCCTTCCCTCTGCCTTCCCTTAAACTAGCACAATTTTTATCCATATCTCACTTATTAAGGCCTGTTTCGTACTGTTCTTCTCTTTCAAGTTCTTTCTATTCCTTTACCTCCCTTGTTCCTTTACATTATCCTGGTTCCTATAGTTTTGTCTGGATACATACTCACTTATCAGGGTTTGGTTCTAGAATCCACATATGAGGGAGAACATACGTCGATTCTTTTTTTTTTTTTTCC